AGGTTCAAGGCTTCCCAGGTCACAGGAAAACTATCAAGCTGACATTTTTTCTAGCTGCTTTTAGCAGCTGCCTAAAATAAACATTTTGGTTTTGTAAAAGCAATTGAAATAGGTGCTAGCTGATAGCCGGTCAGTGCACTTTTTATTTCATTTATAAATAGGTTATTAATGCTTCTGGGAAAGAGAAAATGTTTTATTTCTATATTTAAATCAGTGCTGATCTGCTAATTTCTCCTGCAGCTTTCTGGTGCATTTTCTCAGCACTGGCTCCCTGCTCGTGCACCAGGCCATCTTACAGTCATTAAGGTTGGAAAAGACCACTAAGATCATCTTAGTCTAATCAAACCACCAGATGATGCCCACTAACCACATTACTCAGTGCCACATCCATCCTTCCAGTGCAACATCCACATCTTCCAAACCCTCCACCAGAATAGCATAACCTGGAAACTGGAACATGAGCAGTAACTACTGTTGTAAGAGCCTTGAAGGAGAGGAGTCACAGGAGGGCATGGCTTTGTCACAACCCCTGGGTGGGCAGCATTGGGCAGCACTGAGGCAAGGCTCATCAAGAAGCACACAGCCACAGAGCTGCAGCCAACCTTGTTATGGTTGGCAGGCCAAGCAGAGGGCAAGGCACCTACCAGCTGCAGAAGCTTCGTGCTGCATCACCTTGAAGCCACCAGATAATAAATGGCACAGCTTGCATTTCAACAGAGAACAATCAGGCATTTATAGAAAGAAGCCCCAGTGAAACCACATGCCCTTTCAATCCACTTCCCAGGCAAATAAAACCGAGTAATATTGAACACAAGCAGTACATCAAGGAGCTTTTAAAATAAATAGGAAAGGTACCAACGAGGAAAGACCCCGACCTCAAAAAAGGCCAAGCAGTCACTCTGCCCGCATGTTTCTGAGCATCTAACCCTCAACGTCAAGCCTCTCCAAGACACAGAACTACTTTTTTCATTCCTATACAGTTGCAAGCAAATAATCAGGGAACAACAACCGGTGCATGATTACAACCAGACTCGACCAAGGTAACGGAGGTCAGAATTAAGCCTCAACTGAAAGGTAGGTCATGTATTTGTGTGTTACCCCAACATGCCTCAAAGCTGCAGCAATAATTGTACGATGAAAGAGGAAAGCAAAAAAAAAAAAAAAAGCCAGCAGAAACAATAAAACAATCCAGCAAAACCAAAAAGCCAGGCATCCAGTATATCTTTGCAGGAGCTGCTCCTCTTGAATCAGAACCCTGAAATTGTTCTGCAATCGACTCAGCGGACAGTTATCATCTGTTTATGGAAAAAAATGTTAATAACCCCCAATCATAATCAAATAGGCAACCACTTTACTTTAAGTACCTATTAACTAATGCTAAATTACAATGGAACAGCTCTGCAAGTGCTTCTGACATCCACATGCACATCAGCAGTGCCAGCACTTTGATCAGGGCTATTAAAACATACCGAATGAATTGATAGCAACGCCATTTCTAAAACATCATAGGAAGAGTGGGCAGCATTTATTTACCAGTCATTCTTCCCTCTCTCCCACTTCCCTTTTATTTCTTCTCCCTAATCAGAAAGGAGTTGCTGGTAGGCATTGCAACAGACGCTCGCATCACCCATAAAGCCCTTCCCAATTAAGTTTAGTTTTCTTATCCTAAGCTGAACATCCACATGGACACCCTGATACCCAGAAAGGCTTGAGATATTTCCATCAGTAGGGCATCACCCAAGTGGTTATTTAGCCACCTATTTCCCCAATGCCTGTTAAAACAACAGGATGCTGTGAAAACGATGCATCTCTAAGCCCTGCCACCCTTTCCTCTGGGTCAGCAGACCCAGAAACCTCAGCAGACAGACAGGAAACACCATGCAAGAGAGCTGTGCACACAAACACAGCGCTATCACACGCCTTATTTCTTCAGGAAATCAGATTAAAGCGCAGTGGATTTTCTGCTAGCTGCAAACAACTCTGAACCATCAGCTGGCACTGCCTCCACCCAAGGAAGAAACCTCATTTGGAAAACATAAGTAGATTTTAATCTCAGAGCCTGGAAAATAGTTCACCTCAGCAAAACGACAAGTGCTCTTGTCTCTGGATTTTCTCTAACATCTTTTTCTTCCATCTCTTTTTTTTTTTTAATGTTAAAGTTGTGCAGCACAAGGAATACATCACACAAATATGCATGAGCACACACTCTCTATCCCCAGGCACTTGCAAACGTAAGAGAAAATAGGCAAGAGGAGCATATATTTAGTCCATCAACCTAAGCATTTATATAGCCCCCATCACTGTGCCATCCAAACATTTTGTTAGTCCCAGGACTTTTCTGTACTGTTATTGTTTTATGAAATTTCATGTTTGTTAGTCCCAGGACTTGCTTGTGGCTTTTTTTTTTTATTATATTATGAAATTTCATTTCCTGTCATCTGCTGGGATTATATTTTGATGGGAAGACGCAGAGCTTTACGAGGCTCCCGGTTATGAGGCTGACCCCAAATGGTGAGGTGTGAAACCTTCCTCCTCCAATGGGTGCTCGGAAAGACTGAGACACAGATCCCAGAGCTGGAGCAAAGGACAGCTGAGTGCAGAGCACCAGACTTTTTGCTCTGCCCCCAGAGTCTGTTGGGCCCCCCTAGCAGCTAACACTTGGTAGCCCACTGTGATCTCCATCATTCCACATACATCCCCCTCTTTCACCAGGAGATAAACCCTCTGTTTAACTCTAGAGAAAAGATGTGCTTAGAGAGACTCAGGAGGTACTTAGGGTAACGTGTCCAATATGAGTACACAATGTTCTGCATCCGTGACAAAAACAACAGAAAAAAACTGCTCCTACAGGCTTGCCAAGCTGGGATTTCAACAAAAACAGCTCCTGATTCAGGGAGTGATGCACTTTCCTGAAAAGACTCAGGCTTTGTATTTTTGGGTTGGTTTTTTTCTTCCTCTCAATAAATGATAACAATTCAGTTGCCATACATGATGGTTACTGCCTAGGAATAAACAACAAGTGACCCAGCTAAAGGAGATTAGGAGAGGGTTGCAGGCTGTGCTATATCCAGCACAAGGCATTGGAATAGGGAAGAACATATACATGAGCCTTTAGGAGAAGAGCTCTGTGCCACTCAGTAAAGTGCTCTAATGGTCTGGACAAGAGCAGCACCCCGTTAACTCAGCCTTCAGGAAGAAGGAAAAGGAGCCCATAAAGAGGACACCAGTGAAGGAGGCACCCAGCAAATGCAGGACAAGCATAGGCTTGAAGGCATTATTGCCAGCTTTGGACCATCCAACAACAGCTTGGCTGAGACTCTAAAACAACCTAAGGAGACCAGGCTTATGGATCTACTGAGCAGATGGAGAGATTAGAAAATGCATTTTGGAAAGAGCAGAGGGGACCATGGCATTTCTTGGGGGGAAATAAGTCAATCAGCTGCCAGGGCATAACCAGGATACTGCCGAGCATCTCAGCTAATGCAAGCAATTGGAAGAGCAGCTTTTGTGTATGAAGACACCTAGAACACCTGCAACTCATCGCAGAGATGTCTCTCAAAGTAATGTAATCTATAAAATCTGGGAATTCTGCATAGCTGTGGTTGGACAAATTATGGTCTAATGAGGAGGAAAGCAGGCTCTTCTGGTTACATGTTTTTCTTCCCCAAAACTGCACTTGTAAGAGCCATCACTGCACACCTCTGGTTTCTGTGAATGCAGGATATCCACTAACATGCTTGCCCAAGCACCTCCAACATGTGCACACATCTGTTCCAAAACTGGTTACTCACATCATGTTCACTCCTCTTTGATTCTTCCATCAGGGTCAGAAGTTACTTTTCCTTTTTATATTTATATCTCTAAGCCTCATCAGTGGCAAATGCCCAAACACTTCAACAGAGTTCTGACAAATCCCACAGAAGGCGCATAACATCATCCCAGTTTTACAGATGGGGAATTAAAGCAGAGGCAGAGGTTAAGACAGCTAATTGACTACGGACATTGAGTCAGTAGAAGAGCTGGGAATTGATCCCAAGAACCACGTCTTCCATTCCTCCACTCCACCCACCAGTCAGTACACCACCCTACCAGATGGTTCCTATCATTAGACATATGGACTAAATATTGCTAAGTTGATGTAGAAGATTTTTTATTTAATTAAGAGTCCTGTCTTCCATCTCCATAGGATGCATAAGGGAAACTCCAGCCAGAATCCCATCTGGATCCACTGAGGAAACATGTAAAGCAAACAAAGCTCTAGACAAGCAGAAGAAACACTCCCAAACCTATCAACTGCCCTGCAAGGCAGACACCAGCACGGCCAGGAGCAGGCTGCGACTCAGGAGCCTTGGCCCAAGCCCTGCGTGACAAAGCCTGGCTTCAGAACAAGCGAATGCATGAGCCACCAACTGGGCTGGGAGCTCCTGTCACACCAAGGCATGAAGCTCTCACAGGGTACCACCAACACTCCCCAGCTGGAAACAACAGCAGAATCACAATAATCAGATGATACACTGTCATCTGCTCCATCAACACCACGACAAGCCAACATTGGTTCAGGTAGGAAAGAGACCAGTTCTGCACAGCAAACACTGGAAGCTTTCTCACAATCCAATCACTTCAAAAAGCTTTCAAGTTGCTACTCACAAAGCAGAGGAGAAAATTTTCCAACAGAGGCACACTTCCACATCACCAAAAAGCAGGTCAGCATTTGCTTTCCTGGCACACACCTTACAAACTTGCAGCACATCATGGTCCCAACTCATAAACAGGCAGAGAATTGAAGCACCTGCTTTTCCAACAGAAACCAGAACTACTTCACATCCCAGCAGAGGATATTGTTCTCTTCAGATAATATCTCTTGGATAATCTTCTCTTCAGAAGGCTTTGCATCAGTACTGACAACATATGAACAAATCCACAACACCTTTCCACGTGCTCTATAAGGACCTGGCAATCTTGGAAGGTGCCTCCTGCCAGAGGAAGGAGGCTGCACCTACCTTTCATCCCAAACTTGGACCGTCGGCCGTACTTGTTGATCATAATAAAGAGGACCACCAAGAGGACACAAGCAAAAGCTGCTAGTCCAACCGCTATGGAAACCTGGAAGAAAAAACTTAGAGTCAAGGCAGTGGAATTTGAGAGTTTAGATTGAAAATAAAGGCATTTCCCTTGCCAAATTATCCTTTCTCTAGTTTCACACCTCCTGCTGCAGACCCATTGATATCAGCTATGGAGGAAAATACAAGCAAAACCAGACTTCTGGTACAAACTGGAAGTATCATGGGTTGTTCCCAGTGTTGGAGCTTTGGGATCTCCTTGTCAGCAGTGTTGGCCTGGCAGCAGCTCTTCCAGGACTCTCAAACCAGGTATCAGCTGGCAAGGAGGACCTCTGCTCCAATGCATACATCACAAGCCTCCATTTGCAATATCACTACTGTGCTCTGATGTCACAACACTAAAGCTCTACTAACCTGAGCTGGGAATACGTAGGAGCAGCAGAATATTCTTTAGAAAGAGCAACTCTCTCCATTCAACCATCTCTCAGGATGGAGAATAGAGATAAGAACATAAGAGCAGAAAGAAGACAGAAGGAACCAGGTAGAATCCCTCTTTCCCAAAACATTTTGTTTTCATAATGCCTCCAGCAGTTCCCTATCTATTCTAATTTTAAGTGGTAAATATTTATACCAGAGAAGCATCCAAAGTCCTTCACTGGAACTGTGGCACAAACGTGTCAGTCCACAAGCAGAGGAGAGAAAACCTCCCTGTGCTAAAGGCTTTATACGAGCCCAGCCTTATTTTAACATTTTTGAATATTTATTACTACAGGTCTTTGCTCGAGATACTTCCACTACATTGATGTAAACAGCAATTTCCTTGGCATTTGACCAATTGCTCTCCTGTAGCAGGTCATGTTGCATTTAAACCTCACTTGATTTTTACAAAACTGTATGGTATAAATAGAAAACATATCATTAACCAAAAACAATTATTTTCTTTCGCAACATTCCCCCTGTGCTTGACATATCAGCTACAATATTTAGTTTCTTTTTTTATTTTATTTTACCACACACTATTTTCATCCCCCAGCTTTTTTTCCTATGCTTTGCATTTAATAATCACTGCACATTATTACCCTTTTCTCACTGTTCAAAGCTTTCACTTAAGCTATACAAGAGTTTCACTTGGATGGGAGCTAAAACCAAGGGGAATTGTGTTTTCTTCATTCTGTTAATACTTAGCAGGTTTCAAGATCTTAAATTTTTTTCACAGAATTAGAGCACTTGTATAACATGCTACTTTTTCCCAATGCTTGTACACATTTTTATTTTTCCCCTTGCCTGAATTCTGCAAAATAAAGACAATGGTGAGATCTGATAAGCCATAGGCTTTCTTTCATTTTTTATTTTTGGCATGCCCTGCAGGGTAGAAGAGAGGGCAAACTGGCATTGACAAAATTGAACCAAGCTAAATCTGAGTCTCTAACAGGGCTGAACTTAACAGTTCAATAATAGCATGAAACACAATCGACTGTTTGTTTGTTCTCTGGGTGCTACTTTTTCAGAGTGAGAATTTCTGACCTGCCAGCAACAACTTCACAGGATGTCTTATTTTCAAAGAGCTCCCTGGTTGCATACAGCAGACCCAAGAGGCTCACACAGTTCACATCAGTACTTTGCTTCCCCAGCACAAACCATAAAACCCTTCTTATTTTGTTGGCTGACTTGAACCACAAAGGAAGAGATTTTTTCCTTGCAAGCATCTCAAAACAGCGCTGGACTGTAAACACTGAGCCATTAATAAGAAATACATGCAGAACAGTTGTGCTGAGAAGAGGACAGGACTCACCCCAAACGTGTCCTCCTCTGGTTTGTGGGTCACAGTGATTGGTGGAGTGGGACTCACTTCATAGTCACCAACTGAAACCAAAACAATGAAGAAGATTCATTGTGGCTCTGATGATGCTCCTAAAGCACCAGCATGCCCCCAGTGCACGTCTGACCCAAGGAGAACCAGTTCATCCCTAACCAAGGCTGCAGTTTTATTTCAGACAGCACTAAAATCAAAGAGTGATGTGCACAGCCATAGAGAAAACACAGACTAAGACAATGCTAATGCTATTTCAACTCTGCAACTGAGAAACACTCAAGTCCCTGCTCTGCCAGGGTGAGCGAGCTCCACCCCTCAGCCATCCAATAGAAACTTCAGACGTCTACTGTAGGGATAAGGTATGAGATTAATTTCAGCATAATTTATCCAAAGAAGCAGTTACTTGGATGGGCTTTGGAGAGTGGGGAAATACAGTATGGTCTGTTGAGGAAACACCATGAAAGTTCAGTCCAATTCTCATCCCACTCCATAACACACAGCACGTTGTACATGGATGATTACACACCAGATCCTTTTTTAGGATCGCACTTAAGGGAAGTATCTCCAGGGCTTTGGAGAAATCCCAGAACTGATCAACACCTCCCCATCCATCTTGGTCGTGCATTGGGAAGCCAGAAACAACTCCCACAGTATGCAAAGGAGACACTTACTTGAGACAAAGTTGTCCGTACTCTCTGTGGAAAGGACAAAGAGAGAAGCAACACAATTAGCAACACAGCAAAGGCACAGTAATCTCATTCCCAGCCCACCTCAGGCACACTCTATCACCTCAAGAGCCCAAGAAACAAAAACATTTAATATTTTATCCTTTTGGGCATCTCTAACTGGTGATGTCCTGGATACACTTGGCCAGCAGGACATGCCAGAGGTCAGGACTGAGTGCACAGGAGCCTTGATCTGAAGTGAAATTGGAAGGATGCAACTGCAAAATTGAAATGGAAATTATGGACCTTTTGACTAGCTGTTAAATGATTGCTTTTAGCAAATGATCAAAGCTCAGCGGACACAGGTGTTCAGTAGGATGGAGGCAGAGAGGCAGGTTTTGCCTTGGCTGGTAGCCTTCACCCAGCAACAAAGGTCTACAGGGGCAGGGATCAGATCAAAAGGAGAACAGGCCAGAATGAGCCAGGGGGTCAGAGGAGGCCTCTTGGGTTCCCTCAAAAGCCTATTAAGTCCACTCATGAATGCTAATAGTGTCAGCATTGGACCCGATGCCATGGCTGACCTAGAGCTGCTTCCTCCCCAAGAGAGCTGCATGGCAGCCACTCGACTGCTCTGGTCTATTCAGCAAGGCCCCTTCAGCTTTGAAGACTTCCAAGGGCTCTAACAATGAGGCTTAAGGCTCTCCATGACATTCAGTTTACATAGCATAAGAACAGTGTCAGCTTTCAATTCACTTGCCCATGTAAGAAACTGAGCCTGATGTTAACTGGAGTTTACACAGCTTTGTTGGCAGAGGGCTCCTGGAAGGACACAGAAATGCTCACACTGAAGTACAGAGGAGGTTTGGAAGGGAAGTGTAAAACAATTCCCAAGTGACAAACAAGGCCTTCCAGACCAGGAGAAAAAGACTCTAAAAAAAATATTTTTGTTTCAAGTTAGGCAGAACCAATTTCCCTTGACTTCCTCTAGCAAGAGGGGAAAAAAAAAAAAGAGGAAAAAAATACTTTCTGTGGACAGTTCTACTTCTTTATCTATTAATACAGACTCTAGTCATAAAAATGTTATCTGTTTTTGCATTTTTCTTTCCTGAAGTAAATCGACACCCATCAGAGGTTTTTCCCACTAAACATTTTTATTTTTTGAAGGGTAAAACAAAACCAAGAAATTTTATTCAATTTGATGTCTGGGAGAAGTTTCCAAAGAACTAATGATCATTCAGGGGGAATTTGATAGACCGACTTAGCAGATTAGTTAAAAGGAAATAGGAATAGCCTATGGCAGAGGTGTCAGTGACAAAATGCAATGACATCTTCACTGGGAGATGAGAAATTTGTCCTGGGAGCCATGCTCCAGGCCCCTAGAACCATGACATGGCACAAAGTTATGGCATGCATCTCCCAGCTCCTACACAGTTTCTAGTAGCAATTTCTCCTCCAGGCTAGGCAACACAATCTGGCATCACACTAATGAGTGGTTACACACCACAGGTTCCTAAAAAAAAAAACCCACAGTCACAAGGTCCTTTACCATGCCAAAAGAAATTCTTCCAGGCTAAGGCTTGTATTAAGACTAATAATCCCATCATAGGTAGTTACAGCAATACCTGTGCACGAGTGAATAGCTATAGGCAATGAGCTTCCCAAACAAACCACCATGGGGAAGTTTCAATTTGTCACATTTTCCTGGAGGAGCCTACCTTCAAATGGGAAATTATAGACATCAGCTGCATTGAGTGTTAATGTCAGCTCCGGCAGTGGACAGAGCAACGAACTTGAGGGAAAATAAATTACAGTTTGGATTGTGCTGACAGGGTCTGCAAGGGTGAGGAACAGCTTGGGACTTTAGATCAAAAGAAATAAGAGAAATGGGTCATTTCTTGCTGGAAGTTGGCTCAGGGTATGTAAGCACTCACATCAATAACACACACAAGGCATTGGTGAAGATGCACAGACAAGGGCAACATTCTACATATATTTCACACAAACAGGTTCTCCCAGAGCCTCTGACAGAAGAGGTGCTTCAAACACTGATGTACCTTCCCACATCGTAGCATGGTTCAGATACACTTCCAAAATCAGCTCTCCAGAAGAGCAGACCTGCCCATTTTTCTGGAGATCCAGCACCTACTTAGAGGTGTCCTCATTTCACATATGGGGAAATGGGGTCACAAGGGTGGCACCTGACAGAGCTGATGCTGAGAACCTGTGCCTCACCTCACCCACCCACATTTTGTAAGCTGCTCTTTCCCCTCCCCCCGACAGCAGGAAGCATGAATAGGTAGGATACCCAAACAGCATCATCCTTGAGGCCTGAATATAAATTTTCCATTCCCATCCATATCAGCTCATTTGTTCAATTGTCAGATCTTCAAGGCAGAGATTTGGGTTTGCATTTACAATATTTGACCTGCGGGAAAAGTCTGTGTACATATATGGTGTGATATAAATAATAAGTGAGAGCACTGTTGGTATTTTTCTATATTTAGCAAATGCCCTATTTTGCTGGATTTTCTTGGGCTGCAGGGGCCAATTTAGAGCTGCCACTTTCTCACGGCATCATTCCTGAAGGCAGCAGCATGCACAGACCTTAACTCCATGATGGTCAGTGTGATGCTGCAATGCTAGAGAGAAGACCAAAGCCATCAGCGCTGCTATATAGTAGAAAGATCACCACCAAAGGTCTCTGCTGTATTCTCCAGAGCTGGATTTTCATGTCTTCAAACTTTTTTTTTTTTTGCAGTTAAGCCATAAATCACTAGAGAGTGCAGCAGGGAATTCCAAACAATCAGTAAAGAAATCCTAGCAAATTGATGCAAAGCAACTAATTGAGCTGTCGCCTTTTTTTTTGTAGACCTGTCATCCTGGAATTGCACATGTCATATTTAGAAAGAAAACAATCCTGACATTGCTTCATCCAGTTGCAATCATTTCTCAACTGCAAGTTGGAAGAAAAAAAATAAAAGAAGGAACAAAAGGCAGAGCCTGCCTCACTTTAAGAGGATTTCCTTTATTTAGCTTATAAGTAACAACTCCACAGAATAATACCATCTGTGTATTGCAGGATATATTGCAAACACAAACATCTAAACCATTTAGTCTCTCTCCTCTCAGTGCAATTTAGACTGACATCCACCAAAGTTCAAGATCAAATTCTTCCTCTTGATATGAACAAGAAAAGGGGGATTTCCTGCTGTTAAACTGCTTTGCGCATTTCCTTTTACACTGATTCACATCAGGAATCACTGATATGTGGCTGATGAGAACCAGCAGTCCCAACACAACATTACATTCACAGGTGAACCACGTACTTGGGGTCACAATCTTGCAGGGCTGCTTAAAACTTCACATCACTAGATTTATCATGATGCCTCTCTCATTGCTCTCACGTTCCAGTCAGACACCACCACAGATGACTACACTCCATAAGTCATAGAATGGCTTGGGATGGAAAGGACCTCAAAGATCATCTGATCCAATGGGGTCTGATTTCTCTTCATCACCTTTTGTAATTTCTATGCTGTGTTGATCACTGAATTAGACAGTTGTGACCACAAGTGTCCTTCGGTGTCCCCTTTTCCAACCCTCTTCTTAAAGGCCAACTTAGAATGAGTTGACAGCAGCTCCTCGAGCTGCCAGGATTACTGGTGCTACCATATTGAAACCATCAGACAATCCTAATGAGATTAACTGAACATCCTACCTGGAAAGGGCTTCTCAAGGAAGTGTCCTTTGATGGTCTGGTTGGCTGAGCCCAGCTGGTTGGTGGCCACGATCGTGTAGTTGCCATTGTTGTAGTGAGTGGGTTTGTTGAAGAGAAGGCAACCCTCAGACACTTCCCCTTGTTGGTAGAACTCCATGTGGATAATCTCTGTCTCCCGGAGGACCTGACCGTTGTGCAGCCAGTGAAGGGTAGGAGCTGGATTCCCATGCACTGCAAAGGCAATGCAGTGCTCCAGGTGCAACACCGGCTCCTCCAGAGTAAGGATGCGAGGGGGATCTAGCAGAGAGAAACACAGCAGGCTCACAGCAACCCAATAGCTGAATCATGCCTTGTGCATTAGGGAAATTAAGGTTATTGAAAGCGCAGCCTCCAAAATCCCTTGCTCCTTTTATTGTTCCCATGGATGCCTGCAAAAAAAGGAGCACTGAAGTCATGAGAACCACTCCATACTCCCCAGAAGGAGGACCTGAACCATAATACTGGGCTTGTAAAGGGGGTTATGTATTAACCCCAAGGTTGGCTCCTTCACCAGCCAAGAAATTATTAAGACAGAAGTTACTCAGTGTGCACAAGGTGGCTGTGATCTTCTCCTCCAGAGATCACAGGGAGGCAGTCGGCTCCCATAGAGGACACCAGGACATAGCACTGTCACAGTACCCACATGTGAGGTGCCCATGGGGGATCTCCAGTCACAAGGAGCAGTTTCAGATTTCATAAGTTGAAGGAGCGAGTATCCTCCTGTGGCTGCAGATCCATGGGAATTCTGACTGCTTGAACATCCCAAAGGAGTTCCCACTCATTGAGCACCCCCTCCAGGAGTGTTTTAATTTAAGGGAATAGAGTAGGACAGAGAAAGGAAAAGCAGGGACACAACCAGCAGTTTCTTGTGTGTGTATCTTCATCCTTTTGGGAAACCCCCCAGCAATTCAGATGCTCTGCTGCCATTGCTTCTGAAATCCCAAATACAACATCTACATATGAAGTCTTAAACCCTAAGGCTGGCAACATGTGGACCCAAAGAACAATTCTGTGCAAATACAAAGGACACAAAGAGACAGATCTTCTCTGAGGTTGCCATTTTCCTGAGAGTATCCAGCTGCAAAGACGATCCACAAGGAAAAATAATAAAAATTTTGGTAAAAAAAAAAATAATCACTGACTTCAGCCCATCTTTTTGGAAGAAGAAAAAAAAAAATGTGGTACTCAGCCACCCTGAACCACATAGCTGTGTCCCAGCCACCTCGTTTCACTCACAAGTCTAGATCTACATGTGGCTTATTCACATCTTCTTGGCAAGGATGCTTCAAATCAGGCAGCCACCTACACAGAGAAACCCAGATTTTTACTCTCTTTTGGTGTGAAATCACAGCCCGAGTGATGGGTCTGGGCAATGAGAGCAGGGGTAGCAGAAACTGTCAGCAGCTTAGAGGATTACACGGGTGAAAACAGGCATTGGCACCGTGCTTTTTAAGGTGTGGAGGAAAAACATGCTAAAACGCAGTGCAAAAAAAAAAAAAAACAACACACCCACCTGCTGACTGATCATCTCTGAGCTGATGTGAACTTTAAATACCTCCATTCTTCAGTCCATCAATACTACTTACTGGGAGGAAGATGAAAGAAGAAAGCATCTGCTCTCCTCTTTCCAATCCCCTGTGACTACCTTGTCTTTGTAAGACCCCGTGGCTCCTATGCTAGGCTTGCAGCACGTGGTCTCACCAAGACTAGCCAGAATCACACATGGTCCCTACTGTGCCTGGAAGGGTGCTGGGAGGTCAGATTTCTAAACTACAAATTACAAATGCTACAGACACAGCAACATATAGTAAATCTCAACTGCTCGAGAGTGCAAAGCTCTGTAAACTTCCCCTTAAGGTCAGGTTTGTGTTGAGATATACTGGAAAGCACACAAAAAGCCAAGCTCCAAGTAGTTAAAAGTGAATGGTTGAAATGCAACACGCATGTGCTCACATGGTGTGTGTGCTGTTTAACTTTGTAGGAGCACATCTGGAGGGAAGCACCCTAAAATCAGAGGCAAAGATCACACTGGCTTTAGCAAGGGTGACATTTAACCTCTCTCATGATACCAGGGTGAGCAACTCTTTGTGAACAAAGGCAATTTAGTCCTTCTGTGACTTTCCCCTCACTCTGTTGTACCTTACAAGAGATGAGCAGAGAGACATCCACCACTAGTGTGTTCCTGCGGCTCTTGTCTGCTCTAGTGCTCAACTCTGCAAGAAATTCTGCTCAGTACTGACCTTAAGAGTGCTGAACAAGGACCCACCACTGTGCTCAGCTCTTAATTCGCATCCAAAAAAATATCAGTGCATCACAGGCAGCAATCTGCAGTGCATCCATACAAGTCACTGCCCTCCCTCCAGTCTCTGCACCACCAAAGTCTCCCCACTGCTACTTACAGTAGACAGTGAGCAGAACGCTGGCATTGCTCATCCCCACCACATTCTCAGCAATACAGGTAAGCAGGAACCCATTGTCCTCACTGGTGACGTTCACCAAGGTCAGGTTGATGGCATGAACATTGGTCCAGTTGAGGTTGGTCTGTACATCACAGAGAAATACAGACAGAAATCAGCATCCACTGGCTTCTCTCCTTCCTGCTACTGCCCCCAGAAGAGTATCACAGTTTCTGCGTAAGAGGCAAGAAAGGCTTTAAAATTCAAGGACAAGTAGGACCGGGGGAGGGTATCTTATGTCCCGTCATTGGAGACATTCAAGGTCAGGCTGGACGGGGCTCTGAGCACCTGATCAGCTGTAGGTGTCCCTGTTCAGTGCAGGGGAGTTGGACCAGATGACCATTAAGACTCCCTTCCAAATCAAACAAATCTATGATTCTATGAGGAGCTATTGGGATGTGGAGAGCTGCAAGTGTTGTGGTATTGGTAAACATAGCTTGTCCCTAGACAAGCTTGCTTAGCTGCCTGTTTCAGCTACAGCTATTGCAGACACGTCTGTAAACAGGTAGTTTCATTAGAAGAGACATGAGTTAAGATTCAATTAGGGAGCACTGAGATATGAAGCTATCTCATCTTCACTTTCCTGTCACACAGAGGAAAGGCTTTGCTGCCTGCAACGTCCTTCAGGGTTCTCATATGGATAAGATACCTCTATTTTCCTTACAGTCATTTCACATTTCTCACTGCACTCCACAATACCTACAGATCCCCCCATTCATAGATGTGGAAAACCCAAGGTCCCCCCCACGACAGCACCCAGCAGCACTGCACCTCCTGGGCCCTACCTGGTGTGTGTTGATGGAATGCAGATCTGCCACCGTCCAGTCAACGTCAGGCAGTGGTGATCCTGAGCCATTGCAGGTGATGACAGCATTCTCCCCTTCCCTCACCGTCAGGTTCACATGGCTCACACTGATCTCAGGGAGGTCTGGGAGGGCAGACATAGAAATTCTTAGGTGCAGGGCAGCATTGGCCACAGGACACATGTGGATACAAATCCCACCAAGCTGTTTGTCAAATCAGCCTCCAGCACTCTGCAGTACGTAGCAGGAAGCAATGGCACGGCACTGTCCCACCAAGGAAAAGAGGGAGCATGGAGACGTGTTCCACATCCAGTAACGTGGATGCTGGAGATATGCCAGCTGACAAGATCCTCCAGAAGTTGTGTTCAGTCCTGGCTGCTCTTCCCCTCACATAACATCCTCCCAGTTTCTATCAGCCCCACAGATACTGCTTTTAAGAGCAGTCACCAGTGACAAGAAAGCTGATGCACTGAGAGAGGATCCAAAGTGTCCACACCTATAGGTATACAGCAGAGAATGCCCAGCACTCTGAGGAAGAACATCATCCCTCTAATTTGTAACAATCAATAGCAGATGACCAAGAATGCATCCTCATATCAACCACCACTCTCCTAACAAAAGGTGCCCTTGTTCTGCCTTGGTGGTAGCAGAACAATTCATTGATTTACGGCAGTCCTGATTCACATACCTTCCTTCCTTGGTGCTGCAGGCACCAAAAATCCTTGCAACATGAAACAAGGCCGTCTGGCTGCAATTAGAAGGGCAAAGAACATTCTGGGCTCTTCTGGGTAAGGCAGAACAGCGGTCCCCTTCCATCACAGAAAGGCAGCTTCCATCACACTGACCCAAAGCCAGGACATCTGTGCTCCCAAATCATCACCCTGATGCCCATCTAATACCACCACTGACGGAGTCATCTCTCCTCCCACCCCCAATTCCTACAGATCTTTTTCCCCTGAAATCCTTGCAGATTATTATTCCCCTATTTGTGGAGAAAGTGACAGTGCTCTTTCAGATCTTTTTAGTTCATCCACAAGCAGGCAGAGTCTGGCCAATTTCCAGGGATTAATAAAGGGACATCGTGAACTCGGAAGCAAAAAATTGATGCAAATGAAAACGCGTGCTCTCTGTGTTCTACTGCTACAAGAAATGAACTCAAATTCCTGGAACAGAGGTCAATTACCAAAGAAAGAAAACCTCTGTTTTTCTTTCTTTTTTCATCCTCTGCGTTTGACAGCTGCTCGTGTACAGACACTTTAATTGTTCTGCTGAAGGTACACGTCCTTCCCTTTATACTACAAGAAATGCTTTCCAGTAATGGTAACAACAGAGCAAAAACTGATACCAGACAGGCAGCTGACATGAGAACAAGGTGAAAGAAAAAGGGTAAGTATTGAACGTGCCTCATCTTGCTCCTGGGGCCACTGGACTCTGTTAAACACAAGCATAAAGCAGAGCGAGATACAGTCACTCTAACCTCTTGCTGACAGAGGCAAGCTTTCAATTGAAAAGTTAAAGCAAAGAAAACGGATAGAGACGTATTTCCTAAGGGTATTTTCTCTTATCAATATACCACTTCTAGAATTTGGTAGACAGACGAAGAGCTATATGAAGCTTCTCAGGCTATCACATGGATTGATCAAAGATTTAGGACAAGAGCCTTCAGTTGTGCAAGGTGAGGTTCAGATCAGATACCAGGGAAAATTTCTTCTCAGAAAGAATGATGCATTGGCACAGGCTGCCCAGAGAGGTGGTGGAGTCACCATACCTGGAGATGTTCAAGAAAAGATGCAGCACTGAGGGATGTGATCAGGAGGCACGGTGGGGACAGGCTGACAGTTGGACTAAGTGATCTTAGAGGTCTTTTCCAACTTGATTGATTCTAAGGTTTATGATTCAAGCAATAGCACTACAACAAAGAAAGCCTCCCAAACCCCACAGCACCTTCGGGCACACCAAAACAGCGGCCCAACATTTACCCAGATTCTATTTTTAATACACAAGACACCCTAATTATCTTCAATCATGTTATCCTTGACCACATGGCGAGGTAGTGCAGCATCAGGTTCCCTACAAAGGGGTTGGCTGGTTGTACCAGAGAGAGCAAGACAGGCCATCCTGCCAGCACCCTCCCAGGAGCCCTGAACAGGCTGCACCTTACCACACTGGGTGATGTTCATGTCCTGCAAAAGGATGATGGCCGTGTCCAAGTTCATACAGCGCAGTTCCTGGGATTGCAGGTTGGCCTCGCCCTTCTCCTGCCAGAGCTGGATCCAGCGGATGTCACAGCTGCAGTTAAAAGGGTTCCTCTCTAATCTCCTATGGGCAGAGAGAAAGAAACGACAGTGGGGTTGGGGAAGGATAACCGGGGAGAAGCTCCTCTGCAGGATCTTCCAGAACACATGGTTCACATCTCTTCCTACTCCAGAGAGGCAGGTTTTGTACATCCATATGTGTTTGTGAAGGAGTGTGTGTGAATAAGGTTTTAGATCTTCCAGGTCCATGCTTGCACATACCTTTCACCATGAGGACTGCACATACGAAAGCTTGGGTTGGAAGGAACCCCAAAGCCCCAGTTCCATCTCCCTGCTGTGGGACTCAGGCTGCCCAGGGCTCCATCCAACCAGGCCTGGAGCACTTCCAGGAATTGGGAATATCTACAGCTCAGTCTCACAGTGATGCCATCCCAACTGCTCCAACAAATCAAATTTATCCCTTAGAAAGGAGCAAGCAGCCTCACGCTACCCTAACACACCGACTCACTCCTAGCACCCCACACCTAGAGGGGTCCAAGAGCCTGCTGGTGAAAGCACACTTCCAACTCCACCGCCAATGCTCAGTGAAGCTAGCAGTGATTCTGCTGAGTACCTTATACAAACACAGCCTCCTGGTGCTCCAGGACATGAGCTAATGTGCAGGATATCATGCATTTTAATCAAATCAAACAGCACCGTGCTGAGACCCCACTGACCTGGCCAGGAGAAATGGAAAGAAGCACTGCCTTTAATGTACTTCGTTTAAGACACTGTTACACATTTTATATACAATGGATGTTTATTATTATTGATTTTCCAACCTATTAACCATTTCATTTACATTTTTAAAGCCCTACAGCTATCTACGCAATAAGTGCAGATCTCAGCAGGGAGGAAACCTCAGTGCTCAGCCAGCACAGGAGTTACCACCAACATGAGCTGGACTGATAACATGAGCAAAACAGAGGAGAGAGCTTGAACAAACAGAATCAGTCCTTGTGAAACAGTGAAGCAGAAAACAAAGCAGTCCGTACAGCAAAAGGTGAGCTTGATAACCCCAAAGCAGAAGGGCATCTCCAAAGGTCAAACTGCTGCTTCTTGCAGCATCCAGCTCCCTGCCTCACACAGGGGGAAGCTGCTTTTCTGCTCCATTCCACACATCACTGCAAAATTCATGCTTCCTTTTACAAATTAATTCCACCGACTAACAGGATTTGGAAACAAGTTCCAAACATGCAGCTGCCATTTGTCCATAGCGGTGCTGTGAAAACAGGAGAAGGCAGCTCCTGGTAGCACTCAGGGTTATTAAACCTGAACTCTAATGATGGCATATTGTTCTACAGGGAGATACAAACTGACACCTGCATAACAAACTCCAAAAGTGGAGTTAAGCTCCACTCAGTGGGTTTTTGTTATTGTGTTCCCCCCCATTCACAAGCACCCAAACCTTTGTTAAGACAGCTACAAGGCTCTGACAAGAGACCTGAAGGCCAAAACAATGAATTTAACAGGCCAGAGCAGATTAGCTCAGTGATTTGGTGGCATTCGATAAGGCATTCTCTGCTCAGGCTTCACAATCCTTTCATTGTGGCCACAGATCCAGAATCCAGGTTCTCCTGGAGACCCAACATCACTGCCACCAGCAGGGCTGGGTGCAGGACACAATACTAGTGCTGTACCTTAGGAGCAGTGTGGGCTAAGAGGCACTGCAAGAAGTGGAAATTCTGCTCCTTTGCAAATATCCTCATGAAACAAGGCTGCTGGGCAGAGCTGCTGTCGCAGCACTTGCGAGCAGCACTGTAAGTAATAGAAGGCAGCCTTCCCAGCCCATTGCTAATTCATGATGGGTCATGAATAATACAGGAGCAGCGTGCGTCAGGGCAGAACTTACCCACGACCTGCCCCAACATCAGTGATGTAACACACCCTAACCGAGACCCCCACAGGGGCTTTTGCACAAATTAACTCCCATCACTGGCCAGACACGCTGAGCGCCACCGGCAGCTGGCGTGGCACTGTGATGTGAACACACTGTGGGTTTCTGGATGTGTACATAGATCAGTTTTCTTCTTACACTACTGTAAAAGCACACTTGGTACATGTGAGATGCTTCTCCTCTTTGCTTGGAGCCTTCCATGCCACAATGAGGTTTGCAGAGATTTCAATGCCTATTTCCACTCAAAATCTGCTCAAAAAAACAAAACAAAACAAACCCTCACCTCTCTTCTCAGATCTCATCACTGTCCTAGAACTGTGGCTAGCATATATCACTAGGCACTAGATGCATCTTGAGGAGCAAAACCCCACTGGCTGGTAGGAAGCCAGCAACCTGGAGATACATCTCTGTAAAGCATGGTGCAGCAGCCAAGAGACCTCCTCTACTGCATGGTCTGATTTTCGGGTGGTTCTGCGTGGAACCAGGAATTGGACTCAATGATTCTTATGAGTACCTTCCAACAAGGGATATTCTCTAATTTTATGTGCTTACTGGATGTATCAGCATCTCAGAGACATCCAAAGCAAGAGACTCCTGTCCACGTGCATTCAGCACAGCCCACTGCTGAGAGGATAAGGATATTTCTATCACGTAGCCTTAGCCTGGAAACGCTGCCAAAGCATCTCTTGGTTACAGGCACTCAGGAGCTTTGCACACCCCCACATCTTCCTGATGGTCTCGTTAACGTAGAAAATGCCTGTGAGAAGCAGTGAGCTTCATGGCTACAGGCACACTGGTCTCCATACAGGAGCAGAGCTGCTTTCTGCACCAGAGGAACTGGCCTGAAAAGGGACAAAATCCATAACGCGTGCCAGCATCAGCCAGCAGGCAAAGCACCTGGGCAAGATCTGAGCACACAGGGCACCAGCACTGTGCTCAAGTTTGGGACAGAAGGAAATGCGGACAATCATGCCCAGCACCAGCATTCCAAGTAGAAGGACTTCATACCCAAAGCAGAGTGATTTTTACCTAGGCACACACCTTATCCCAGGTCTCATCAGCTAAACCAAAGCTGTCTGCAGCTACAGCCTCTCAGAGGGCAGCAGCTCAGATTGTTGCCACACTTCTGCTGCCTGTTTTCATTCACATAAAGCTGCTCTTGAGCTTTGGTATGCCTGCAATTAAAACACTCTCATCCTTCAAGACACAGCCCGTTTCCTTAAGCTCAAGAACCAAAATGCGCCCGGCGGGCAGAAAACAAAACCTATTTTCATTTCCCATTTCTGTTTCCCAGCACTAGTGCTTCTCTTGGGGGTGCAGGTGTTGTTTTCACCTCCTTCCAGAAAGGGATGGGACCCAAAGGGAAGAGCTCTGATAGGGAGCAACACACGGTGTCCAATATCCACATTGGCTAACGCATGGAGCAGGCAAGTATCATCATCTTGCTACAGCAGCATTAGTGCAACTGTTGGCAGCAGTAAGTTTTTAAGCTAAGGGCACAGACATTAAGCCAGGCTCATCACACCAGAGAGCTTGCCATGCCCCATTCCCAAAGCATCTTGTGTAGCATTGTAAAAATGTACTGCAGGCTAAGCTGGCAGGGACTACTTGTATTAGAAATGCTGACAGTCCAGGCAGAGAAACAAGATGTTCAGGACTACAGCATTTTATCCAACCAAGGAAGTAATTGGATCCAGAGTCTTAGGCCTTTCCGGGAAGGAATTTCTTGAAATGTCAGCCCTAAGCTCTCTGAGGACGTGACAAAGGAAGCCAAGGACATGACAGAGGAAACCAGCTGTGACTTCTGGATAAGAAAGGCTCTAAGTCCAATGTTTATGAGCTGTTGCAAGTGTCAGATGCTTCCTTGTGCACGCTCAGCTTGCTTCAGGCTTTGGAGAGCTGTGCACACATTAGCTCCAGCCCTGTCGGTCAAGGTCAGCCTCTGCCGTGGGAATTTAGGCTGGAGTTACAGGAAACCATTCCAAGTCTTGTTCTGGCCAGAAGGAGAAAGAGATAATACTCTTTGGAAGCATGCCTCATTTTTGCCATCCTTTCTTCAGTGAGTCATCACTGGAAAAGCTCCACTCTGTTCAACGCTTCTGCTTTAAAGTAATATTCCTAGCTTGAGACGGTTTGAATGCAGACTGGCAGCTCTTTCAAGCCCCAGGTTCCCATTCACCTGCCTGCTCTCACAGCACGGCGTGATTTTCATATTAGCATTCTGCTCATCTCAGTGCTCACCATGGCTTTGTCAGGTTTTATGTTCCCATATGGAGATCTCCATCACACACAGTAGCAGTTCCTCCATCCCAACACTTTTCCAGAGACAATCCTCCCATCTTCTCCAGCCTTGGGCTTCTGCTTCTGCACAGGCCCCAGCTCCTTGCCACCTCCTTCCTCTCCAGAAGGGTTTTGGCTTCACGTAAATCCTTCATGTAACTCCCTTTCTGGTTTTCACCAGTGCTTCACACTCACTTTATGTAGGCCATATATTCCATCTCCCTTCCAAATTCTGGGAGCCTGCTTAGTGCTCAGCATGCCAAAAAACTGTCTTCTACTCACCCATCCTCTGCATTTCTAAAAAAATTACAAATAAAAATTCCACTTTTGCACATCCTTTCCTAATTTCTCTGCAGCCTGGAGACTTACTTTTCTTTAAAAGCCCCAGTGCTCAGAACCACGACCACCCCACAGGAGAAATATTTCTTTACCTTAGTTTCCAACTTCTTTATGTGAATGATTATTGAGTCCATAGTTTAGGCTACATTCCCACGTGATCTTTTCTCTCAAACATATCAAAGTTCAGCAGTTTCCTGGCCACGGGAAGGACACAAGCACATCAACACTGGCTTCCCAGTGGATATCATCTGAAACGTTCCTCCTCTTTCATGCTTTGGGAAGCAGTAGCATCATGTTATTTGGGTGCATCCTACCCGTGCTGACATGGAAGAGGTTCCATAGTGATGAGAAACCCAGAGGGGACACATGACAAGAAATATCAGTGACAAAGCACTTCTCCAGAAGAAAATAAACTTGACCAGGCTCTCATTCCAGCTCCCAGACAGGGTTCTTGTTGATCACTCAAGCCCATGCCACAGGGCGATGCCAAGAAGCCTTTCAGAGCACAGTGGCAGAGATGACCAGCCAAGCTGGGCATTGCCAAGAAACTCCAATGAAAATGCTGACAACACAATTCATAACAGAACGGCTGTCCATCTCCCATCTCTTTCCTATTACCCAGCCCCATGATTTCCCACGTGCCTACCCACATTACTTCTTTCATTAATCAAGGCTCGTTATCTCTGAGTGCAGCTCTGAGCACATTTCCAACAGGAGCCAAACCATTCACTTTATTTCCCTTTGCCAGGCTGCAGAGCCCTGGCCTCAAGTGACTCTGCTGACACAGACTGCAGCCACCTCCAGCACACCAGCTTCCCTGCCAGCATCCGCTGTTCACTATGGATGTATTCAGCATCTGATGGGACATGCACCATTCAGTGCCCAAAAGGCAGCATCTCAATTCCCTCTTTGTCTGGCATTGGTCTTTTGAGCCCGATTTGTTCTAGCAGACCTGGGGCACACCCAAAGAAAAAAATATATATAAGCAGAGAAATGAAACAACAGAAATGAGCCACTTTGGAAGCATCGCCACTGATCTGCAGGATCACTGTGATCCCAGGCTCTGCTGATGCCTCTCACCCAGGACTGCGGCCCCTTTTGCACCTCCACGCTTGGGTCTTTCTAAGGCAGCAACCATCAATCTGAATTTTGCCAAACAGTGCAATGATAATAAGTAAAGGTCTAAGAATACAAATGACTCATGCTATTAAACTTGAAACCTGAGCCAGGCTTTAAAAATATTTAGAGCAATCAGCAAGGGGACAAATTCCAAGTTCAGCATTTTACGTTTGCAAGCCAGATTCCCCATCAGAAGGGCGTTCCTCTATTTCTAATATCACTATTAGTATTTTTCATTTAACAATTTGACAGAAATAAAATGCACTGCAGCAACACCTGTGATAACACACTTACTCCCACTTGAAAGACTGTCTTTATTCTTTCATAAGTCACTTCCAGCTTACAGCTCTATTGATCATCGGTGAGGATGAATGGAGCTTCCCAGTATCCTCTGGGAGAAATCCTACATATATATATACATATATATATATATATATATTTTTTTTTTTTTTTTTTATACCTACCAAACAACTATTTCTAAAATTCGACAAAACAGGTCATCAGGGCAACACTCCATTGATTTCATGTCCATTTATTCTTCAAGCACAGCACTGAATGCTCCATCAATAATTCAACAAGCTGAATGCCACTGATGCCCCAGGAGGGACACTATCTCATCGTGCACACGGGAGCTGGCAGGTACCTCAATTGCTAGAGATCAAGGGAGTCACCCACCCAAAAATCAGGATTGTTTCTAAAGCCTGACCAGAAGTGAAAAATATACGTATAACAGTTGGAGGCCAACCATGAGGACCAAGTCTTTGGGAAGATCCACTCCAAATCTTGCCCAATGAGCATATCTTACATGTTCCTAGCATTAGTCAACCATTTACTACCCCAAGAATGACTTGTTCATCATCCTGATGTTAATTAGCCAGCTGCTACAATGCTACAAGAAAAGCAGTTCTGCTCTGGTGCTCCCATAGCCAGGAAACCCTCCCAAAGAAGGCTCTGCCCAATAGAGTTCTAGATAATTATTCCCAGGCTTCAAACCAGCTCTATGTAAAGAACCTCCTCCTCTCAGCCTCCCCTTTTCTTTCAGGAAGAACCTCCAGGATAGAACTTACAGGTCAAAGAGCCGCAGCGTCTGGAAGAGTTGCCATGACAAGGTGGTGAGCCGGTTACCAGAGAGGTCTCTGAAAATTAACAAGAAAAAAGGAGTCATGGTAAATAATTCCTCCTGCATGCAGCCCTACTTCCACCACAGGGCCCATCATCTGCTACAGCGCTGTCAAACGGTTTAGGACCCAATTCAGGTTTCCTAATGAGAGATTTTAATGAAGCTGAACCTGAATGGAAGCTCCTCATTTTATTTTGCATGTAGAGGGTGGTGCCCGAGGAGGTTGGGGATGCTGCATCCCTGAAGGCATTCAAGGCCAGGCTGGATATGGGCTCTGGGCAGCCTGGTCTGGTGGTTGGCGACCCTGCACATAGTCGGGGGGGTTGAAACTGGATGGTCATTGTGATCCTTTTCAACCCAAGCCATTCTATGATTTTATTCCATCCTCCCACAGGGAAAAGTGGTTTATATCCTGCTGCAATACTAAAAGAAATAATAGTAATAATTCAGACAGTAAGATTTGCCTGATTCTTGCCTGTGAATCTGGAGCTCAACCAACCATGAGCAGAAAGAACAAGTCTAATTTTGTAAGCTGAACAAAAATTAAGTAAAACTGTCACGTTAAAAGTATTAACACCCGAGCTGTAACAACAGAACAATGATTACCCAAGGTATTATCATATGGTACCTAGTAGCCATGCATTACAGTATCCCGTTATGGCTGTTTGCTGCTTGCACCCAGGGGTATCACCACCACAGCAGCTAACAGCTCCCTATCCCTCTCTCCATCTGTCCAAACTTGCAGAAACATAAATCTCATCTACCTGGGAGAGCCTTGCAACCCAGCAGATATCGCCTCTTCAGCTGGAAGCCAGGGGGGATAAAAGAGTGCAAAATCAAACTAAGAATTACTAAAAGAGAAATGATGTTCTGGGGACAAGCTAGGCAGGGAGGAGGCAGCCACACAAAGAGAAGAGCCTTGGATTTCAGCACAACATGATGATAAGGAAACTGCTGTCTGCAGCCTTCCTGGGGATGCCTGGGGTGAGCAGAGGGGTGTTGGCAGAATCCCAGATCTGCCTGTATCTATCCTAGCATTCAGAGCTCCAGGAGACACAGGAGGTGACTCCTTACATCTCTCAGTGTATGCTTCCATTGCCATCATTTCTCATCCCGTTGGGAGCTCTGGATCCATTCCACACACTATAGGGCTCCCCCACAAAGCCCTGCTCTGAAATTCTACAGTTAGGAATGGGGAGGTCACTCACAGCTCTGACACCAAATCAGCATCCCAACATCCCATGAGTGTGGCAGGCACAGAATCCCAAACATCCCAACAGCTCAAAACAGCCCAAAAGTGCTGCATCATTAAATTCTGCTTGTGCCTCTCAGACTGCCCCACTGTGTAAACCACTGCAAACCACAGGCACTTTATTTTGCATGACTAAGATTCCACCCCCCCAGCCCTCAATTCTTAATGCTGTAGACAAATTGATTCCAGCCTCCACCAAAGTTTAGGGAGGTGGCAAAAAATAGCAGGTGATGTTAAACAAGGGAAAAGTTAAAATAAAAAAAAAATTGCCAAACTCTCCTTTATCCACCCTGGAGCACTCAGCACCTGGGAAGTTTGCAAAGACAGATGAAAAGTAGGAGGGGAAGGAGCAGATCACTGCTAGAAAGAAATAAGACAGTACACTCCCTCCCCCTACACAGAGAGGAGAGGGAAGCGTAACAGGGGATGCATGAGAGACAGCAAAATGTGGGAGAGAGGCAGAGATGCAGAGGAGGGAAGTGAGTCTTGCTAGAATGTCCTTTCTCAAAGGTCATGTTTTGCTACATTAGGCAGAAATGTCAAGAGAAAATTGGATTCTGAAAGAGAAGAGAAAAAACAACAGGCTTTTCACGCAAATAAGGGAATCAAAAATAGCATGATCATGTTATTACAATTTAGGGCACAGGGAGATGGAGGAAGGAAACGTCCTCACTAACGCAAGAATCTTCGCCATGCAGATGTGCTCAGCTCTTCTCCTTCAGTCCTTGGAAACCAGCTCCTACCACCCACATCCCAACCCCAGAAAGCTACAACCCACGCTGAGCATTGGGCAGGATGAGTCCTCACTTGCATGCATCTGACCTTGCCCCAGTCACATCAGACATCTGTGTCAGTAAGGTCCTTGTACAAGGCCTGGATATCAGCATGGACACAGAACAGGGCTGCATCCACAAATGCAACAGAAAATCATGTCATTTAGGTCACAGACCCAAACACCTGAAACCCTACAGGGTTTCAGTCCTGCTCTCTTACGCATGCGTTGAGTCCATCTGCCGACTTTTGTGGCAGAAGATGCAGAGCTGCTATAGGAAAACCTCTCTGCACAGCTTCAATCTCTCCCCAGAATAGATCCATCCCCTGTGCTGGATGGGGCAGGCTTCCTGGGGAAAATAGCATGTGATTATGTAATTAGAGATAGTATCACAGTACATGCACACGAGGAGATTAAATTATGGCTCCATGGGTGAATGGAGCAATGGCATTTTATAACCAATTCAGCATTTGTAAGGTCCCCTCTGTTCTGTGGCCACACACAGTGAGTTTCCCAGGCCAAAAGCCCCTTTTTGCTTCTATTGCTTCTATTGCTGGAGCCCACCTTCTACCTATCACTCTCCAAACTACTCCTGAACACTCCTCATGGGTTGATGGACTAGATGATCTTAGTGATCTTTCCAAACTTAATGATTCTATGATCTCTTTATCCACATCCTATGACCTTCCGAGCCCTTGCATCCCTGCATTCCCAGTGTCCCAACAAGAGCTGCTACCCTTCATCTCCTCCATCTGCTCCCAAATGTCCTCTGCAAAACTCCCTCCAACTGGATCAAGATTTGTTCTGCCTCTATAAAGTCCTAGAGAAAACCAGGTACTACCAAACATGAAGGCTCACATAACTCCTGAAACACCCAGACCATTTACCTGGGAAATCCACAGAAGTCATTAGTAATAATAGAGGATTTTTTGATTCATTTGAATATTGGCACACTCACATACAGAAGGCAAAAATAAGCCTTTTCTACATGACCTCCTCTTTGACAAGCAGAATTCCTCCCTCCACAAAAGGAGAGCGTAGGTACCTTGGGATGGAAGCATCACACCAGTATTTTCTGGCTTAAACCCAACAGCTCATTTTCCCTCTATCTGCTGCCTCAGCCATCAGAGCAGGTTTTGTTTGAAACCAGACAGAAAGCATCAGAAAAAAATGGATTGAGCCAGGAGCAGACACCCAACACAGAAAACTTCAACCTGAGCAATTAAAATCTGGCAGAGGTATAGGAAAGTGGAAACAATCCTGTAGCAGAGCATGCCAGACAATCTTTATAACAGCCTGTGCATCAGCTCCACCTGTAATAAAGTATGGCACATCACATGTCGAGGAGACACCTGAGAGAGAAGCAAGACACCTTATCTGTGTATTTCACACTGGCGAACAGAAGCCGGTTTCAGGACATAGCTGTGGCAATCTGGCTGAGGAATGAGGAGACAGAAGAAAGGACCAATCCTTTCGGTCCCTGGGCACGAGGAACACATGGGGATTAGGAAAGCATCACCTTCTGCACAGGACCCTCACTCCTGTGCTTAGAATCCTAGAATTATTTGAGTAGGAATGGGCCCATAAAGGCCATCTGGTCTGACTCCCCTGCACTGAACAGGGACACCTACAGCTGATCAGGTGCTCAGAGCCCCATCCAGCCTGACTGCAGTGTCTGCAGGGATGGAGCAGCCACCACCTCTCTGGGCAACCTGTGCCAGTGCCTCACTGCCTTGATCAGGAGAGGAGCCCAGTTCCAGGCAGCCCATAGTGAGTGGTCTTCCACGAAAAAGAAAACAGCGTGTTCTTCTTTTCCCTCTATTACCCTGCTGCCAAAAGAGTTCCCACTATTAAAGCCATTTTTATTCAGCTAAATTAAGCTGGATGCCTCATTAATGACAGCAACAAGCTAAAGCCCCTGTAATTAAACTGTAAGCTATATTATGTGGTTCAGTTCAACATGATGTCAGCAGCTCTGCTGGGGAGGGACTCTACTTGCCTGTCCCTCCTCCACTCAACCTCATTTCTACCATGAGGCATCCAATTCTGCATGAGGGAAGTTTTCCACGCATTTTAATAACGTGGTGCCACTCTGGATCACGGGAACAGAGCAGCCAGGGTTGGAGGAACTCAAACAAGGGCCAGACACAAATTAGAGATGAGGCATACATCATACATCTCCAGCTGCCTTCCCCACAGCTGAATGTCTTTCCTTAATGCATTAGATCTATCCCCAGCCAGTCCCAGGAACTGTGGAAATACAGACAGACCTCACCACAAAGCAGACTCTGCAAGTATTGGACTCAGCTGAAATCCCCCATAGCTCAGCACAAAGCCCCAGCAGGACACACCTGAACCAGAGCCTACAAAGCATCAGAGAGTGCCCAGCATACACAAGCTTCATATATGGAAAATACAGTCAGGTAAGTCAGCAGTGTCCAGGTCTTTACTGCCCTAGACACACCACATTAAAAAAAGCCATCAAGGTTTAAACTCCCTTTGTGATTTTGGACACCATAACTCGCTCCTTGCTTCCAAATGTATCCACAATATTGCGCAGTGCTTTACAAGGCATCCAAACTCGTATCACATCCCATCATATCACTCCCCCCAAATTATTTATTGTGCTAATAACCATAACTTGTGATAATCTCCCAAACTCAAGGTCCCTTGCATTGAAGGAGAGCATCAACAGTGGGAGCCCTGCCACCCAAAAGATGTGACACCGGAGAGGGGCAGCCCAGCATCCCTTCGTGCCTCCTAGTTCCAATATCATAATTTGTAAAACTCAAATGCCATTGAAACAGGATGGAAGGGGGTGGAGAGGGGTGCCTCCTCCACACTGTTCTTTAAATAACAGCATAGTAACGCAGAAGCTTCAGAGCACAGCAGGGCAGGGGCGTGTGGCACCACAGCTCCAGCACATCTATTCCACACCTCTCCTCCCACCGCCTCTGCCAACAGCCTGCAGCCCAGCCCTGAGCCCTCAAAG